TCTAATGATTGATAAGCACCCTAAACCCAGAAATGTATGTGATGGTAAATACCAGTCTGTATGAGACAAGAATAATTGATGACAAACCAAAAAAGGAAATCTAGAAAGAACTGACCTATTCCCAGACTCCCACTGGCTAGGGATTATTAGTAGTACCATAGTGACCACTATTAGCAAGGTGATGTGATATTGTGATTTATTTATTTATATATTTATTTATTTATATTTAAAGATTTTATTTATTTATTCATGAGAGACAGAAAGAGAGAGAGAGAGAGAGAGAGAGGCAGAGACACAGACAGAGGGAGAAGCAGCTTCATGCAGGGAGCCTGACGTGGGACTCGATCCCGGGTCTCCAGGATCACGCCCTGTGCTGAAGGCATACGCTAAACCGCTGAACCACCCGGACTGCCTCGATATTGTGATTTATAATAAGTATGTTTGGTCCTTGTCCCTGTTCCTGGCATGAAACTCCTAAAATCCAAGAAATTTCCTAAATGTTGAAAGCAGCAGAATCAGGATTTTGCTAGCCACCTAAGGGTGGGGGGGGGTGCTCCCTATCAGGAGAACCAACCATGTAATCAGAAGGTTGGAATTTCAAGTCTCACCTGCTCCCCAATAACTCCCATCATCCCCTGAGGGAACGCAGAGAACCTGGAGGTTGACTCAATCACCAATGGTCAATAGTTTAACCAATCATGCCTATGTAATGAAGCCTCCATAAAAAACCCAAGAGGACTGGACCAGAGAGCTTTTGGGTAGATGAACCAATGATGATGTGGGAAGAATAGACACCTGGAGAGGGCATGAAGCTCCATGCTCTTTCCCTATGCATCTCTTCCATCTGGCTGTTCCTGAGTTATATTCTTTCATAATAAACTGGTAATCTACTAAGTAAAATGTTTCTTAGTTCTGTGAGCCACTGTAGCAAATTAATCAAAACCGAGGAAGAGGTCATTGGAGCCTCCAATCTATAAGGAATTGGTCAGACGCACAGGTGATAACCTGAGCTTCTAAAATGTGTGTGTGGGTTGAAGGTGGAAGACAGTCTTGGAGGATTGAATCCTTAGCCTGAGGAAACTTATGCTATCTCTAGATGGTAAGTGTCAAAATTGAGTTAAATTGTAGGACAACCAGCTGGTGTCTGAGAATTGCTTGGTGGTGGTGGTGGGGAACCCCCACACATTGGAATTAGGTGTCAGAATCTCAGGTGGTCATTCAAAAAACCTGTGAATCATTCCTGACATTCCCTCTTGTTCCTGTTTCATAGCCAAGTCCTATGGATTCTACCTCCAAAACTAAAAACAAATCCAGGGGATCCCTGGGTGGCTCAGCGGTTCAGCGCCTGCCTTTGGCCCAGGGCATGATCCTGGAGTCCTGGAACGGAGTCCTGCAACGGGCTCCCTGCATGGAGCCTGCTTCTCCCTCTGCCTGTCTCTCACTCTCTCTCTCTCTCTCTCTCTCTCTCTCTCTCTCTCTCTCATGAATAAATAAATAAAATCTTAAAAAAAAAACAAAAACAAATCCATCCACTTTTTCTGTACCACCTCCGTTAAGCCTCCATGATCTCTCTTCTGGACCAGTCTTCCACTGGTCCCTTAGTTTCATCTGTTCTGTGCTTTCATTCATTAGACAGCAGTGAGATAAATCTTCCAAGTAGATCTCCTTATCCCTGCTCTAAAACCCTTCAAAGGCTTCCCAATGTACTTGCAATATAATCCAAATTGCTATATTGACCCACAGGGTCTTCATGATCTGGCCCCTGCGTCCCTCGCTACTTCATGTTATACCGCTTACCACCTTATTCTTGCACACTACCTCCCTTTTGATTCCTCAAATCCACCAAATTATTTCCTGCCTCAGGCCCCCGTACATGTTTCTCCTTCTACATAAAGTTTTTTCTGCCTATTCTTTTTTTTTTAAGATTTTATTCATTAATTTGACAGAAGAGAGAGAGCACAAGCAGGGGGAGTGGTAGGTAGAGGAAGAGGAAGAGGCTCCTCGCTGAGCAGGAAGCCCAACAGGCTTGATCCTAGAACCCTGGGATCACAACCTGAGCTGAAGGCAGACACTCAACCAACTGAGCCACGAGGGCACCTCTCCTGCCTATTCTTTACCCAGCTAACACATTTATCATTTGTTGATGCACATTTTGGTTGCTTCCACTTTTTGTAAATAATGTTGATGTGGACATAATTGTACAAATATCTGTTTGTTTCCTTGCTTTCAAATCTTTTGAGTATATACCCAGAGGTGAAATTGCTGGATCAGATGGTAATTCTATTTTTAATTTTGTGAGGGACTGCTATACTGTTTCCCATAATGACTGTGCCATTTTACATTTCTACTGGCAGGGAACAGGGGTCACGATTTCTCACCATTCTTGCCAACACTTGATATTTTGGGTTTTTTATTTTGTTTTGTTTTATAACAGCTATTTGTATGGGTGTGAAATAGTATTTTCGTGTGGTTTTGATTTGCATTTTACTAATGATGAGTGATATCGAGACTCTTTTTGTGTAATTATTAGCCATTTGTACATCTTCTTTGGAGAAACATCTATATAAATCCTTTGCCCATTTCTCAATTGGGTGTTTCCTTTTCTTTTAAAGGGAGTACATTACTCAAGTTGAAGAGACTACCAACCAAATCCTAGAGATAAGTCCACTGGCTACTTGACATTAAATTTCTTGTGAATAATCACTATTTTTATTTTACTTATTCATCAGAGACACAGAAAGAGAGAGGCAGAGATGTAGGCAGAGGGAGAAGCAAGCTCCATGCAGGGAGGCCAACGCAGAACCCAATCCCGGGACTCTAAGGTCACACCCTGGGCCAAAGGCAGACGCTCAACCCCTGAGCCACCCAGGCATCCAAATCACTATGTTTACATTTAGAAAAATATATTGGAATTATAGATAAAACAGATTTAAAATTTTTAATTCTAAAAACTACAGTATGTAAAATATAATTCATATACAGAAAATGTACAGAGAGCCTTACTAACACCTTGGAAATTCCTCACGCAGGCACTGTCCCTTTTCTGCCAAGGTAACCATTACCCTAAATTTTAGCAGATAATTTTTTCTGTTTTTGGCTGAAATGGACTTATTCCGTATACACTTTTTGCACCCTACCATTTTTTTTTTAAGATTTATTTGAGAGCACATGCACGCACACGCTGGTGCCTATATGCAGGGGACAGAGGCGATGGGAGAGGGAGAGAGAATCCTCAAGCAGACTCCCTGCTGAGCACAGAGCCAGATCCCAGGACCCTGAGATCAGTACCTGAGCCAAAATCATGAGTTGGCTGCTCAACCCACTGAGTGCCGTAGGCACCCTGCATCTTACTTTCTATGCTCAAATTTACATTTCTGAAGTTAAGCCATTTCTTGTTGGTCATTGTGGGTCATTCTTCTCATTGTTGCATAGTATTCCATTATGTGAACACTGTGTGGATTTATTAATTTATTCTATTGTTTATGGTCTTTTGAGTTTTTCCATTTGAGGGCCATTAAAACAAGTGCAGCTGTGAACATCGTATTCCTGTTTATTGGTGTACCATTAAATACTCATGTCTCCTGGCTGGCTTTGTAAAGGTGGAACTGCTTTCTGGGTCATAGGATATACTTCTTCAGGAAATAGAGCCAAACTGTTTTTTAAAGGAGTTGTCCTAGTTTACATTCCAGAAGCAAGGTAGATGAATTCAGTTACTCCACATCCTTGTGATGTGGGAAACAAAGGCACAAGGAGAAATTGAATTTCCTTACTACTTATAGCCCATTGACGAGTCCTTAAAACAGGGAGATTGACATTCCTCTAGGAACTCAGCTGCCTCCAAGTTAATACTTTGCTAAGGGTAAAAGGTAATCTTAGCTTAAAATTATCCAGACCCCAATCCCCCAGGATCCTGTAAGTCTGCTTTAACACTTAAAAATTCCTTTGAAAACTTCCTTTATTTCTACTCTCCAAGATATATGTTAGCAATCATTCTCCAAGCATATATGGCCCACTGATAAACATCTGAAGGGCTCATGACTTAGGCTTTATTAGACGGTAATAAATGACGTTTTCCTAACAATAACTAGCCCCCTCCAGGTCCTGGAAACCTTGCTTCCAAAATTCCTTAGAGATTTAACTATCCCTAATTCCCTCTCAACTTGAAAGTATATAATCTGCCACTCCTCACGACCCCAGAGCAGCTCTTTCGGCCGAGTCCTGTCCCAGAGCTTTAATAAAAGCATCTTTCTGCACTGAACACTTCTCAGGAATTCTTTTTTTTTTTTTTTTTAAGATTTTATTTATTTATTCATGAGAGACACAGAGAGAGGCAGAGACACAGGCAGAGGGAGGAGCGGGCTCCCTGCAGGGAGCCCGATATGGGACTCGATCAGGCCCTGAGCCAAAGGCAGGTGCTCAACCACTGAGCCATCCAGGCGTCCCTCAAGAATTCTATCCTAGCTATGAGCTCCGAACCCCAACATTTCCTAGGTCACTTGGAGTATTTTGCCAACACTTGGTATTTTCCTTTATTCCCTCTTTTCTATCGTATTCTGAAATATAAAAACAACTCAAGCAAAGTTTCTATTGCTTTCTTTGGGGGGGGGTACCTTTCAGTTGTTGGTTTGGTTCTTCGAATTGTTAACTATCTCGGACATGTCCACTGTCCAGCTGTAACGCGTGGACCATGAGTGCGTTCTCGGTCTTGCTCAACATTTTGGCTCATTCTACCCCTCGGTGCCACTGGGCGAAGAAAATAAGGTGTGCATTCGGGGCGGGGCCAGTCCTCGGAGTACTCTGGAAGCACGATCACTTAGTAGGCGAAGCTTACGCGGACCGTCCTCTGTCAGTCGTTTGCTAGGGCCCACGATCTAGGAGGTCCTGGCCGCCGCCGGGGCCCAGGAGCCGCCCTCGGGGGCAGCGGCCAGGGCAGGGGTGGGGCGGAGCGGGGGGGGTCCCCGGCCGCGCGGAGCATGCGCAGACCAAGCCCGGCGCATGCTCCGCAGAGCGGCGCGTCCCCGGACGAGGCGAGTCGAGTCTCCCGCGCCCAACCGTCCTCGCCGGAGTTGCTGCTGAGACGCTGCTTCCGAGCCCGGCCGCCAACAAAGTTCGTTCAAAAAAATCCTAGTCGTTCTTAGAAGAGCGAAGGAGGGCGCGAGCCAGCCAGGCGGCCCCGCCGAGGGAGCTGGCGCGGTGGGCGGCGGCGGCGGCGGCGGCGGCGGCGGCGGTTGCGCCGCGACCAGGAGGAGCCGGTGGCGCCCGGCGGCGGGTCCGCGGCCGGCGGGGGACGGTGAGTAGCGGCTCGCGGGTCCGGGCGGCGGCGCGGCTCCGGCTCGCCCTCCGCAGCGGCGGGGCGCTCCCCCGGGCCCGCGGGGGAAGGGCCCCCTCCCGCCGGGGTCCGGGGACTGTGGAGGGGCGTGGGGGGCAGGGGCCTCCAGGCCCGGGCGCCCATCCGCTGGCCCCGGCCGCCGAGCACCCCGCTCCGCCGCCGCTGGGCGCCGCGTCCAGGCTGCCTGCCCGGCGCCCGCCCTCGGCGCCCAGCGGCCCGGGGCTCCCGGCGCTCCCGGCGCTCCCGGGTGTGGGTCCCCGGGGTTGCCCCGCGGGGCGGGGCGGGGCGGGGCGGGGTGGAGCGGGGGCGAGGCGCCGGCCTCCAGCCCCTGGGAGCCGCCGGGGAGGGGGCGGCCCAGGCCGGGCGAGACCCCAGCCCGGGGGGTCAAGAGCCGGGTGAAGTCGGCTGCGCAGGAGCGCGCCCGGCTCTGCCCGGCTTCCCGAGCCGCCGTCCTAACCGGCGGCGCCCCGCCCTTGGAGACCCGCGAGACTGTGAATGAGCCGGGCTGCGCGGCGTCGCTAGGTCGGGGACCCGAGGGGCCCTGGGCACCGGAGGGCGTGCGAGGAGCGCTAGCTTCGCTTTCGGGAGTGCCAGGAAAGTCTGACAGGGCCCTTCACGTCTCTGGGTTTTAGAGAACTCCTCGTATTTCCTGCACAAGCTCCTTGAACCCTACAAGTTCTTCGGTGTTTATGAACACAACCGTACCTGTGCTCAGTACAGCCCGAGATGAAAAAAAAAAAAAACAAAAAACAAAAAAGACCTAAAGCAAAAACAAGACACAACTCTTTTGATCAGTGACTTAGCTCATCCCGTCCTTTTCTACTATGATTAGACTGCATTGGCTGGGAAAATCTTTAAAATTAAATTTGGGGAAAACAATATTTAGAGAAGAGGATTTATGTAAAGCATTATTGTCCGCTTTTTATTTATTATGCTTGGAATTATTTTCTCTCTCTCTTTTTTAAAGATTTTATTTATCTATTTATTCATGAGAGAGAGAGAGAAGCAGAGGCACAGGCAGAGGGAGAAGCAGGCTCCATGCACCGGGAGCCCGACGTGGGACTCGATCCCGGGTCTCCAGGATCGCGCCCTGGGCTAAAGGCAGGCGCTAAACCGCTGCGCCACCCAGGGATCCCCATCAGGATTATTTTCTAAGAACTTAACTGTTTTGGTATAGTGCTTTACATCAACGGAGTAGTAGGAGCTGATCATCACAGGAGTCAGACTGCCTGTGTTAAAATCTGATTCTACTTCTTTAAAATTTTAAGATTATAAATAAAAATTGACTTTTTAAGGAGTGCGCGCAGTTCTATGAATTTTAGATGAATGCAGTCACCATGTCAGGACATAGAACAGTTCTTACTACCACCACCCCATCCCTATTCATGCTATCCTTTTATATCCTTCCTCTTACCCCTAACCCCTGGCAATTACTAAACTTTTCCAGGTGTCATATAAGTAGAATCATACAATATGTAACCTTTTTTAAAAAAGATTTTATTTATTTATTCATGAGAGACACACAGAGAGAGGGGGAGTGGGCAGAGACACAGGCAGAGGGAGAAGCAGGCTCCATGCAGGGAGCCTGACCTGAGACTCTGTGGTGGGTCTCCAGGATCAGGCCCTGGGCTGGAAGGCAGACTCTTAACCCCTGAGCCACCCAGGCATCCCAGATATTGTAACCTTTTGATGCTGTCTTCTCTCACTCAGCTTAAGCCTTTCAGATTCTTCAAAGTTGTTGCCTGCATCAACAGTTTCTTCTTTTTTCATTGCTAAGTAGTGTTCCATTAGGTGGATGTGCTACAGTTTGTTTATACATCCACCCACTGTCCATCAGGACATTTGGAGTGTTTACAATTCTTGGTGATTTTATTTTATTTTATTTTATTTTATTTTATTTATTTTATTTTATTTTATTTTATTTTATTTTATTATTTTTAAATTCTCGGTGATTTTAAATAGAGCTGTTATAAACATTCATGTACAGGTTTTTTGTTTTTGTTTCTTAAAATATTTATTTATTATTATTTATTTATTCATGAGAGGCACAGAGAGAGAGGCAGAGACACAGGCGGATCAGGTCTTGGGATCATGACCTGAGCTGAAGGCAGCCACCCAACCGCTGAGCCACCCAGGCATCCCTCGTGTACAGGTTTTTGTGTGAACATAAGTGTTCATTTCTGTAGGGTGTTGCTAGGAGTGGGATTGCAGGGTCATATAAAGGATGTTTAACTTTATAAGAAACTGTCATGCTCATGATTTCCAGAGTGGCTGTATCATTTTGCATTTTTACAAGTACCATGTGAGGGTACTAGTTGTCCACATCCTCCTAAGCACTTGGTATTTTCAGTAATTTTAAATTTAGCCATTCTAATAGGCATGTAGTGGTATCCCATGGTTTAGTGTGTCTTTAACTAATGACTAATGATTTTGAAGATCTTTTCATGTGTGTATTTGGCATATATAATCTTTGATGAGAACCTAGGCAAGAGTATTGCCCATTTCTCAAATGGGTAAGGTTTGCTTTCTTGTGGTGAGTTTTGAGGGTTCTTTCTATGTTCTGGAAACAAGTTATTTGGTAGATATGTGCTTTGCAAATGTTTTCTCACAGTCTGTAGCTTGTCTCTGATTCTTTTAACAGTATTGTCCACAAGACAAATGTTCTTAATTTTTGTGAAGTCTGATTTATCGATTTTTCCTTTTGTGGAAATTTTTGGTATGATGTCTAAGAACTCTACCTAACCCCAGGTCAACATTTTCACCTTCTAAAAGATTTCTTCTAAAAATAATGGTTTTACTTTTATTTTTTTTTAATACGTAAATGGTAGAGCCTTTGTTAGAGGGTGTCTGGCTTTTTTTTTTCTTTTTAAGATTTTATTTATTTATTCATGAGAGACACACACACAGAGAGGCAGAGACATAGGCAGACGGAGAAGCAGGCTCCATGCAGGGAGCCCAATGTGGGATTTGATCCCGGGACTTCAGGATCATGCCCTGGGCCGAAGGCAGGCGCTAAACCACTGAGCCACCCAGGGATCCCCATGGTTTTACTTTTATTTTTAAATTTTTTATTAAAGATTTTATTTTATTTTCTAAAGATTTTATTTATTTATTTGAGGGGGGGCAGACTCCCTGCTGAGCAGGGATCCTGACATGGGGTTTGATTCCAGGATGCTGAGATCATGTCCTGAGCTGAAGACAGATGGTTAACCTACTGAGCCACCCAGGTGCCCCTGAGATTTTAAGTAATCTCTACACCCAACATGAGGCTTGAACCCAAAACCCCTAGATCAAGAGTTGCAAATTCTACCAACTGAGCCATCAAGGGCCTGAATAGTTCTACATTTAGATGTATGATCCATTTAAAATTATTTGCATTCAGTGTGAGGTTTAGGTAAATGCTTACTTGTCTACATCTGAATGTCCAATTTTCCATCACCATTTGTTGAAAAGTCTTTTCTCCATTGAATTGTTTTTGCACCTTTGTCAAAAATCAATTGGCTGAATTCATGTCAGTTTATTTTTGGGCCCTCTTTTCTGTTCTATTGATTTATATATCTTTCTCTTTACCAGTATCACACTCTCTTGATTAGTATAGCTTTATGGTGTCTTAAAATTGGCTAGTATGATTTCCTCCAATTTTATTCTTTTTTCAAAATTGTGTTAGCTATTCTAGTTTATCTAAGCCTTTCCATTTAACATTTAGAATCAGCTTGTCTCAACTACAAAAAGTCCTGCTGGTGCTTTGGAACTGAATTAAACCATGGATCAGTTTGGGGAGAAGGCTGTTTTTACTTTGAGTCCTCCAGTTTGTGAACATGGCACATCTTTTCATTTATTTAGTTCTTTGTTTCATTAGTGTTTTGTAGTTTTCAGCATATAGATCCTGTACATGTTTTATTAAATTTACACCAAAGTATTTAATTTTGGGGGAACTTTTATGTCACATAAACATTTTGGTTTCAGGGGCACCTGGCTGGCTCATTTGGAAGAGCATGCAATTCTTGATCTCAGGGTTGTGAGTTCCAGCCCCACTTTGGGTGTAGAGATTACTTAAACAAATACAAACTTTGGTTTGAAATTGTACAGTGTTAGGATATAGAAATACAATTCACTGTTGTGTTTTGCCTTGTATCCAGTGTCCTTGTTAAACTCATTTATTAGTTCTAGGATTTTTTTTAATTCCTTGGAGTTTTTTGTAAAGACATTCATGTAATTTGTGAATAGAGATGTTTTTATTTACTTTTCCCCTAATCTGTAAGTGTTTTAGTTATTTATTTATTTTTTTGTCACCTGTTCCCCCTGGCTAGGACTTTGAGTATGATAAATAGGAATAGTGAGAGTGAACATACTTACCTTGTTCTCAGTCTAAGGGTAAAAGCAGTCAGGCTTTCAGGGGTGTCTTGCTGGTTCAGTCAGTAGAGCATGGGACTCTTGGTCTTGGGGTCATGAGTTTGACCCCCATGTTGTGGGTAGAGTTTACTTAAAAAAAAAGCAATCAGCCTTTCAGAGATAAGTATGATGTTAGCTGTAGAGGTTTTTAATTTAATTTTATTTATTTATTCATGAGAGACACAGAAAGAGGCAGGGACACAGAGGAAGAAGCAGGCTCCCTGTGGGGAGCCTGATGTGGGACTTTATCCCAGGACCCCAGGATCACGACCTGAGCCAAAGGCAGATGCTCTACCACTGAGCCGGGTTTCCCTGAAGAGTTTTTTTAATAGATGACTTGTATGAGTCTGAAGTAGTCGTCTTCTGTTTCTGGTTTGCTGACTGTTTTTCTGACAAATGGACGTTGAATTTTCTTACGTTTCCTCTGTTTCAGTTGATATGGTGATGAGGTTTTCTCTTTTACTTTGTTAATTTGGTAGATTACACTGATTAGTTTTTGAGTATTGAAGCCTTGCATTCCCTGAATAAAGCCCACTTTGTCCTGGCTATTCTTATTATATGTTCCTAGATTTGATACACTAATATTTTGTTGAGGACTTCTGTGTGCCTTTGTCCAGATTTCTCTTTTGTACTGTTTTTGTGTGATGTTGGTATCAGAATAATAATGGCTTTATAAAATAGGTTGGGAAATATTCCTTTCTCTTCTGTATTCTGGAAGAGATTGTATATCACTGCTGTCAGTGCTTGAAAAGTTTGGTAAAATTCCCCAGTGAAATCACCTGAACCTGGAGATTTTTCTTTGAGTTTTTAAGTTACAAATTCAATTTCCTTACAGTTATAGGGCTATTCAAATTATCCGATTCATATTGAGTGAGTTGTGATAGTGCTGTTCAAGGAATTTGTCCATTTCATCGGTCAGTTTTTTTAAGCGAGGGGAAGGGCAGAGGGACATAGAGAATCTTAAGTGAAGCTCAGTCTCACAATCCTGAGATCATGACCTGAGCTGAAATCAAGAGTCGGACGCTTAACTTTCCCTAAATTGTCAAATTTATGTGTGTAGAGTTGTTTGTTACATTGTCCTTTTGAGTCTGCAGAGTACAGAGTGACATTCTTTTTTTTTTTTAAATAATTTTTATTTTATTTAATTTATGATAGGCACACACAGAGAGAGAGGCAGAGACATAGGCAGAGGGAGAAGCAGGCTCCACGCACCAGGAGCCTGACGTGGGATTCGATCCGGCGTCTCCAGGATCGCGCCCTGAGCCAAAGGCAGGCGCTAAACCGCTGCGCCACCCAGGGATCCCCAGAGTGACATTCTTTAATTTATTCCTAATATTGGTAATTTGCATCCTTTTTTTCTGTCAATTTTATTGATTTTGAAAGAATTTTTTTGTGTAATGTTTCCTATTTTTCTGTTTTAAATTTTAATTTAATATTTCTGCTTACTTACATGATTTCTATCCTTTGCTTTGGGTTTATTTTGTTCTTTTTCTAGTTTCTTGAGGTGAGGGCTTAAATTATTGATTTGAGACTTCCCTTCTTTTCTAAGGTAAACATTTAATACTATAAATTTTCACTCTTAGCACTACATTAGCTATGTCCCACAAATTTTCACATTTCTTATTTTCATTTAATTCAATTTTGTTTTTTAAGAAAACGTCTTTTGAGTTTTTCTTTGGCCCACCAGTTCTTTAGAAGTCTGTGTTTTTAGTTTGCAAATATTTGTAGATTTTCCTGTTATTTTTCTATTACTGATTTCTAGTTTGATTGCATTATGGTCCCATTATTTTTGTTTGATGAGGTTTGTCTTATGGCCTAGAATCTGCTTTATCTTGGTATATATTTAGTGGGTACTTAAAAGAAGTATATTCTGGAGCGCCTGGATGGCTCAGTCATTTGAGTGTCTGACTCTTGATTTTGGCAAAGGTCATCATCTCAAGGTCATGAGATCAAGCCCCAAGATAGGCTCTGAGCAGAGTCTGATTGAGATTCTTTCTTCCTCTCTTCCCCTCCCCTGCTCACACTCTTTATCTCCCTCTCAATAAATAAATAAAATCTTTGAAAGAAAAAAGTAAATTATGCAGTTGTGTTCACAGTTATATAAATGCCAGTTAGATTCTGGTAGTTTTATTGTGTTATTAGACTTTCATTTTGTTTTATTGTAGTGTTTTGGGTTTTTGTTAGATTTTTAAGTTTATTCCTATTGAGAAATAGAGCATGAGAGAGCAGGAGTGGAGGGGAAGAATACATTCTGATATTCTACTTTTTTAAATGTATCATTTAGTTATGTTTGAGGTGGAGACCTAGAACCTATACTTTAACAAATCTTCCTAGATGATTCTTATGATTGTGCAAGTTTGTGAAGCACTAAGGACAATTACTGAGACTCCATGGGGAGCAGGAAGGAATGTTCTTCGTGTTTCAGACTTGTTTTGTGTAGTGGTTGTTTGGATGGGTTTTTCAGTTAAGGGAGTTGAAATATAATATTATAACATATAATAGTAGTCAGGAACTTAACTAGTAATTTTCTAAGAAATATGAAGAAATTGACTTTCTGTTTTTTTCGATCTAAAATCAAGCAGTACACATTGCATTACTTTAATTATATGAATAAATAACTGTAACTAGTCTGAAACTAAAGAAAGAACGTATGGTATAAGATTATTTGTAAAGGAGTCATTGTAACCTGAACAGTAAAGCACTGTAAAAGTCCAATGCTGTCACACAGTTGTGTATTATTATGTAAGTCTTTCTTTGGGGTATTTTTCTAGGGATATTAATTATTACCTGTGAGGTTGAAAAGGCAGTTTCCTTAGATTTTGTATTTGTTGCCCATATGGTGGTAATTGTGGAGAATTTATTACATTGTGTAGAACGAAACTACCATTTTTTGAAAGCTTAGTTTTCCCTATGCTAAGTGCTTTTTTTCTTTTTAAAGATTGTATTTATTTATTCATGAGACATACACACACACACACACACACACACACAGAGAGAGAGAAGGAGAGGGAGAGAGGCAGAGACACAGGCAGAGGGAGAAGCAGGCTCCCTGCAGGGAGCCTGATGTGGGATTCATCCCATCCTGGGACCCCAGGATCATGGCCTGGGCCAAAGGCAGGCGCTAAACAGCCCAGCCACCCAGGTGTCCCTTTCCTAAGTGCTTTTTATATGTACCAACACACATATACAACTTTTGTACAACACAAAAGATCAACAATCTTTTGAGGTAAATATCCTTTAGTAAACTGAAGCATAAAGAGGCTAGCCAGCAACTTCACTAAAATTGCAGAACTAGTAAGTGGCAGCTGTATTAGACCTCAATTCTAACACCCCAGTCTTAGTCTCATTAAAAGGTAGAACTATACAACTACACATTTATTAATATCTGGATGTCATACATTGTGCTATTTTTCAGGCTTCAAAAATGAATGATGTTCTTGTTCCTTCTTTAAAAGAATTTACATGTTGGGATCCCTGGGTGGGCTCGGTGGTTTAGCGCCGCCTTCAGCCCAGGGTGTGATCCTGGAGACCCGGGATTGAGTCCTGCGTCAGGCTCCCTGCATGGAGCCTGCTTCTCCCTCTGCCTGTGTCTCTGCCCCTCTCTCTCTCTCTCTCTCTCTTTCTCTCTCTCTCTCTCTCTCTGTGTCTTTCATGAATAAATAGTAAATAAATCTTTAAAAAAAAAAAGAATTTACATGATCTAAACAGGGTGGTAAGAGGACCTCCATCATGGACACAAATTCTTGCAGTGCAATATAATTATTTCTTCATAAAACATTATAATTTATTTTGTGCAATTTTTGGGGTTCTGGGTGGCTCAGTCATTTAAGTGTCTGGCTCTTGGTTTTGGCTCGGGTCATGATCTTGGCGCTGTGGAATACAGCTCCATGTCAGGCTATGCCCTCAGCTGGGAGTTTGCTTGAGATTCCCTCCCTATCCCTCTATTCCTCCCCTTGCCCCTTGCTCATGTATTCTCTTCTTGCTCAAATAAATAGATAAATCTTTAAAATTATAATATTTTATATACTTTTTATTTTATGAAAAATCATTTCATTTTAAACTACAGATTTGAGAAGATCTGATCACCTGGAATTAAAGTTGGTTCAGAAACCTTTTCAACCACAAAAATGTTGGAGGAAGATATGGAAGTGGCCATCAAGATGGTGGTTGTAGGGAATGGAGCAGTTGGAAAATCAAGTATGATACAGCGATATTGCAAAGGCATTTTTACAAAAGACTACAAGAAAACCATTGGAGTTGATTTTTTGGAGCGACAAATCCAGTATGTACTTGGCCATTTTATCCCTTCAGTTTTGATTTCTGAACTGTATCCCAGGCTTTCACTGGAATAATTCTAATTACAGTATAGTCCAAGGTTAGGAGTCTAGTGGCCGTGGCTAATGGAACAGTTGGTGGTGGTTTTCAAATACTCATTCCTGTGTTTGTCTTTTTTTCTTTTCTCTTTAATGTTTTAAGTTTTTATTTAAATTCTAGTTAACATATTTCTGTGTGTATCTTTATCCTTCTTTTTCTTGCCTTTCATCTGTTTTCCCCTCATCATTTCCCCTTTTTATACTCCCCTCCCGACCCTTTCTATCTCCTGCTTGTCTGTTTTATATATATTGGTGGCATCTCACATACTTCTTAACCACAAACCAGTGCTTGACTCTAATGAGATTTCTGTCCACTACAAGCACAACTTGGAGATTTTGTAGGTTCAGTTCCAGACCACTGCAATAAAGTGAGTCAAATGAATTTTTTGGTTTCCCAGTACATGTAAAAGTTATGTTTACATTATACTGTAGTCTATTAAGTCTGTGGTAGTCTAAAAAAATTATGTACATATTTTCATTTAAAAATACTTTCTTGGGCAGCCCGGGTGGCTTAGCGGTTTAGCGCCACCTTCAGCCCAGGTGTGATCCTGGAGACCCGGAATTGAGTCCCATGTTGAGCTCCCTGCGCGGAGCCTGCTTCTCCCTCTACCTGTGTTTCTGCCTCTCTCTATCTCTCTCTCTCATGAATAAATAAATCTTAAAATAAAATAAGATTTGCTAATAAATACAAATAAAATAAAATATGATTTGCTAAGAAATACAAATCATTCTCTGATCTTTCACTGAGCCTTAATCTTTTTGCTGGTGGAGGGTCTTACCTCAATGTTGATGGTTTCTGACTGATGATCAGAGTGGTGGTTGCTGAAGGTGGGGGTAGGTGTGGCTATTTTTAAATATAAAATAGTGAAGTTTGCCTCATTGATTCACTGTACCTTTCAGGAATGATTTCTCTATAGCACGTGATGCCATTTGATGGCATTTTACCCACAGTAGAACGTTATTCAAAATTGGAGTCAATTCTCTCAAACCTTATTGAATTACTATTTGTATACCTGAAATTAATGCATCACTGTATGATAAATATACTGGGATTAAAATTAAAAACTTAAAAAGAACTCTCTCAAACCCTGCTGCTACTTTATCAACTAACTTTATTTAACATTCTAAATCCTTTATTGTCATTTCAACAGTCTGCACAGCATCTTCACCAGGAGTAGGTTCCATGCAAGAAACCACTTTCATAATAAACAATTCATCTGTTCAAGCTTTGTCACGAACTTGCAGCAATTCAGTCACATTTTCAGACTCCACTTCTAATTCCACTTCTCTCGCTGTTTCTACCCATTCTACAGTTACTTCCTCCACGGAAGTCTTGAAACTCATCTATGAGAGTGGAATCACTGTCTTCCAAAGTCTTGTTGATGTTGATATTTGACCTTTCCTGTGAATCACAAATGTTCTTAATGGCACGTAGAATGGTGACTCTTTCCTATAAAGTTTTCAGTTTACTTTGCCCACATTCATCAGAGAGATCACCATCTGTGGCAGCTATAGCTTTACACAGTGTATTTCTTAAATACCAAGACTTGAAAGTCAAAATTACTTCTTTTTTTTTTTTTTTTTTGAAAATTACTTCTTAATACATGGGTCACAGGATGGGTATTGAGTTAGCAGACCTGAAAACAACAATCTCATTGTACATTTCCATCAGAGCTCTTGGGTGACCAGTGCATTGTCAGTGAGCAGTCAAATTCTGAAGGAATTTTTGTTCTGAGCAGTAGGTCTCAACAGTGGGCTTAAAATATTCAGTAAAGTATCTTGTAAATAGGTGTGCTGTCATCCAGGCCCTGTCCCATTAATAGAGCACAAGCAGAGTAAATTAGCATAATTCTTAAGGACTCTAAAATTTTCAGAATGGTGAATAAGCATTGGCTTCAACTTAAAGTCACCAGCTACACTGGCCCCTAACAAGGAAGTCAACCTGTCCTTTGAAGGTTTGAAGCCTGGCACAGACTTCTCTCTAGCTGCGAACATCCTGAGTAGCATCTCCTTTCAGTAGAAGGCTGTTTCATCCACATTAAAGCTCTGTGGTTTAGTGTAGTCACCTTTATTAATTCGCTTTGTTAGGTCTTCTGGGTAACCTCCTGTATAGCTTCTACAATAGCACCTACTGCTTCACCTTGTACTTTGATTGCAGAGGCAGCATCTTTCCATGAACCTCATGAACCAACCTCTGCTAGCTTCAGACTTCTTCTGCAGCTTCCTCACCTCTCTCAGCCTTCATAGAATTGAGGAGAGTTTTAGGACCTTTCTCTGGTTTAAGCTTTGGTTTAAGGGAATGTGTGGCTGGTTTTCTCTTCCATCCAGATCACAGAAACTTCTTCCATACGGCAGTGAGGTTATTTTGCTTTTCTAATCTGTGTGTTCACTGGAGTAGCACATTTATTTGTTTATTAAAGTAATCTCTATACCCAACTTGGAGCTTGAACTCAGACCCTGACATCGAGTCACATGCTCTATTGACTGAGCCAGCCAGGTTCCCCTGGAGTAGTGCTTTTAATTTTAAGAACTTTTCCTTTGCATTCACAACTTGGCTGTCTGGCACAAGAGACCTAGCTTTCAGCTTATCTCCACTTTCAGCCTGCTTTCCTCACTATATTTAATCATTTCTAGCTTTTGATTTAAAGTGAGTGATGTGTGGCTCTTCCTTTCAGTTGAACATGTAGAGGCCACTGTAGGGTTATTAACTGGCTTAATTTCAGTATTATTGTGTTTCAGGGAATAGGGAGACCCAAGAAAAGGGAGAGAGATGGGGGAATGGCTGGTTGGTGGAACAATGAGAGCACACATGACATTGATCCATTTAGTTTGCCATCTTAAATAGAAGCGGTTTGTGGCACCCCAAAACAATTACTAATATAACATCAGAGATCACTAATCATAGGCTGCCTTAACAAATACGGTAATAATGAAAAAGTTTGAAATATTGTAAGAATTACCAAAATGTGGCACAGACACAAAGTACACAAATGCTGTTGGAAAAATGATGCTGATAGAATTGTTGAGTGCAAGGTTGCCACAAACCTGCACTTTGTAAGAACAAAACAAAACAAAACACACAAAACAGTATCTGTGAAGCACAGTAAAGCAAAGACTTGTTTTATTTGGAAGGACAGTTACCTGTCTCTCAGAATAGTTTTCAGTATTATGGAATCCTAAGACTATCTAGAAGTTAGAGAATTGATAATTTGTTTTGAAGAAATAAATAAGAGCAGATTTGGCAGGATTAAATACTCCAATGAAAAGGAAACCTTACTTCAGGAAATCCAGTTGCATCCTAAAACACATTAAAAGTAACAGTTTTTGTCATTAGTCCTACGAACTTTTAAAGATATTTTATTTTTTAATATAGTTGACATAACATTATATTAGTTTCAACTATACAACAGAATGATTCAACTTCTATATAGGTTATGCTGTGTACACCACAAGTGTAGCTACATCTGTCACCCGTATAATGCTGTTACAGTGTCATTGACTATATTCCCTATGCTGTACCTTTTATTCCTGTGACTTACTCATTCTATAACTAGAAGCCTATATCTCCCACTCCCCTCCACTTGTTTTGCCCATTCTTCCCCACCTCAAGTGTATTTTAAATTGTAAGGACAGACTGACAGGTATTAAAGAAATAAGTACCATTAAACAAATCTGACTAGCCTGAGCAGTAGCATTAAAGATAATTATGTTCATTGTTTTAAAGATTGTTCAATTTCTAATTTGTATTCTTTTGCCCTCTTTTAAAAATACTTCTGTGTTTATTTCCTTTCTCGGGTATTTTAAGAGGATTCATTTTAAGCCTTCATGGCATTCATTTTTGTATTTGTTATCTGAACCAAATTAATATTTTAAATATATAGTTGATCCTTGTTATTTGTAGATTCCAAGTTTATCCTTCAAGGATACTATTGATTCTCATTATTTGTAGGCTCCATATTTGCAAATCCATTTACTTGCTAAAATTTCTGTGTAACCCTAGAGTCAGTAATCCCAGTGCTTTGGTAATCATTTGTGGATATGCACAGAGCAACAAATATTTGCTACCCTATGTGCACACTCTCACCTTAGGTCAAACAAGGCAACCCTCTTCATTCTTTTTTCATTCCTCATACTACAAACAAGTATTTTCTCATGTCTATTTTTGTGCCACGCTTTTGTACTTTTTGTTGATGATGTCACTTTTAAAATAGCCCCTATGCATAGTGCTATCTCGTTTTCTTAAGTACAAGAAGGCTGTGATGTGCCTTATAGAGAAAATACGTATGTTAGGTACACTTCATTTAGGCATGAGTTGCAGTGCTGTCGGCCTTGAGTTAGATGTTAGTGAATTAACACTATGTATTAAATAAGGTGTCTTTAAGCAGAACCATAAAAAAAAAAACAAGGTTACATGTTGACTCATTGGGGAAAATGTAACCAGGGCTCACATGATCCTAACCCTGTATTTCCCCTAGGAGCAATGTTTGAATATTTGATAATTCAGTGTTTGCAGTGACTTTATAGAACATAACTACCATGAATAAGACAATGGAATAGATGACAAAATAAATAAATTTTTAAGTTGTAGGGAACCAGGCTGCTTTTCCTTCCCTTGCTCCTTCCTTCTCTCCTTCCTTCTGTTCTCCGTGTTTTACTTCTTTCCTTTCTTATTCTTATTCTATCACTTGTGCACCAGAACCCATCAGAATGTTAGCAAGAGAGCAATTACTAACCTGAGGGTATACCATTCTCAGTGATGCTAATGTTAGAGGCACCACTGTCTATGATCTGTTATTAAGGGGGAAACCATGACAGGTAAACGCAAATCATGTATAAAGTTAGAGCTTTGGGGGAATGTCTTTCCCCCTTTAGTTTCACTGCTGGTGTTGATAGCACCATTCAAGAGCACTCAGACTTTTTCAGAGTGAAACCAACAATGTAGTATTAAAACCTTCAGATGTGAAAAATAAAAATATGTACAAAGCTAAACATAGCTAAACATTTTCTTCACATATGAAATAAATTCATCTCTTGTTTCAGAGTTAATGATGAAGATGTCAGACTAATGTTGTGGGATACAGCAGGTCAAGAGGAATTTGATGCAATAACAAAGGCCTACTATCGAGGTAAATTATGGGGTTTGTTGATTTGGGCATGTTCTTTTGGCTAAGCAAAGAACTTCACTTTTTTTATTCAACATAGAAGGGTTTCTTTTTAAGACTTAAATTAATTTCAAAGTATTTTTAAAAACCTCTTAGGCCATTGTTCTGATGATCTTGTTGAGTTGTAAATAATACTGTGTACTATAGATAGTTTGTCTCTGCCTTGGAATTATATGACTCACGTAGGCATTCCCTGTTCTAATCAGAAACTGTTCAATGCCTGTTTCTGACCACATGGAGATAACTCTATGGTTAGAGTGGAAACTAGCATGAAAAAGTAAAGTCCCTGCAAATAGGATGACAGTTTGCTATGACAGAGATTGTAGACGTAAAACCGTCTCGGTGCCCTAATTGTTCAGAGAGATGTGAGATACATGGGGTCAAATTCCTCAAGGAAAGCTGAAATTTCTAAATGGAACCTAAAATTTCCATTACCATTTTTCTCTAAAAGTTTGTCGTTTTCTTTTGGAATTTATGACAGCATTTCCAGTATTTCTCCACCTTAATGCTAATTGTGATTGTAATGAGAACAAAGTAACTGAAAGCTTCATATTGTCCCATGTAGACTTAGACTTATAGACTGTTGATGCTTTTTTTTTGTTTTGTTTTTTTGTTTTTAATTTTTATTTATTTATGATAGTCACAGAGAGAGAGAGAGAGAGGCAGAGACACAGGCAGAGGGAGAAGCAGGCTCCATGCACCGGGAGCCCGACGTGGGATTCGATCCTGGGTCTCCAGGATCACGCCCTGGGCCAAAGGCAGGCGCTAAACCACTGCGCCACCCAGGGATCCCTGTTGATGCTTTTGAATATATATCTTGTTTTTACCCACTTTTGAAAATGTAGGATTTATGAAAACATAATTATGCTAATATATAAGCAACCAAAGAAGTTGCCTTTCTCACTCAGTACCGGGGAGACTTGACTTCCACTGCCTACTCTAAGAAGACATTCTGGTTCCATGAGAAATTTAAGAGAGATACACCTCTCAGGTGTCATTCTAATAATGCTACCACTGCTTCTCATTCTATTTACTGTGTCCTTAAAGGCTCCCCAGGGGCAGTGGTTTTGACTGTTGCTCTTCTGTAGATGCTAGTTTGGATCTTGAGCACCTGTAACATGATATGAGGCAGGAATTATGTTCTGATGGCCCAAAGCTCTTTGATTAGATGACATTTTTATCAAATTATTAATTTTATGAGCAGTGACACTATTGACTAGCAGGCCAAAAATGATTTGTATTTTTGAGTAAAAATCATTAGTATTTTCTTAGTGGGGTTGTTACATTATCACCTCATTCACACAGAAAAAGAACAAACAAAAAACCTAGGTGGAAACATCAAAAAATAGTAGGAGTACATGAGATTTTCATTGTTTTTACCTAGTTTTTTTCTCTAAATTCTCAGCATGAAATATATGTTCTTTTGTAAGGGAAAAAGATAGGTTGGGTTCTTTCTTTTTTTAATATTTTATTTATTCACTTGAGAGAGAGCACACACAAAGGGGAGGGGCAGAGCAAGGGGGACAAGCAGACTCGTGCTGAGCAGGGAGCCTGAAGACAAGGAAGGACAAAGATGTGGGGCCAAAAGATCCCAGGACCCAGAGATCACAACCTGAACTGAAGGCAGCTGCTTAACTGACTGAGCACATCCAGCTGCCCCTTGGTTCTTCCTTTTTAAGCTTTTGACAATACGATGTAGCAGTATTACTTAACCAGTGTGGTTATTTTTGGAGAACGTATTTACCATTATTTATCTCTGATCCATAAAAGCAAACTGTGGGGGATCCCTGGGTGGCTCAGTGGTTTGGCGCCTGCCTTTGGCCCAGGGCGCGATCCTGGAGTCCCGGGATCAAGTCCCACGTCGGGCTCCGGGCATGGAGCCTGCTTCTCCCTCTGCCTGTGTGTCGCGGCCGGCGCGAAAAGGTCCGGATTCAGGAACCGAGGGCAAGGGGATGAGAAATAAACAAGAAACTAAAAGTTCATGGGATAGGAGGTTCCATGCAGCTGATGGCACAATGGACAAGCTTTATTTTTACATGTAGAGTTTATATAGCCTCTGTAAGCAGATGGCCTATTTCTTTAAGGAGAAGTACATCTCCTGCACAAACATACATTGTTTTTAAAACTAACACCTGTTATTTGTTTAAGCAATAGAGCATGAATGCCACATTTAGACTAAACAGTGAGGTTTGTTTATTAAGTAATGTCTGCCAAGGCAGTCATGTGTCAGGCCACCTCCTTGCTTACTTTATGGGAACTTGTCTCGATAACATTTTAAAGGAGAAGCAAATATGTACTTTTACTTCCATAAGGGGGAAGAGCTAGGTGCAGTCCCAGCGGGTTGGCCAGGTATGACAAGGAGCCTTTGCTCAACCTGGAACCTTGCCTCACACCGCAGGACTGCGGGTTGGCTAGGGACAACAAGGAGCTTTGGCTCAACTTGGAACCTTGCCTCGCACCGTGGGACCGCTCCCGACACCTGTGTCTCTGCTTCTCTCTCTCTCTCTATCATAAATAAATAAATAAATCTTTTTTTAAAAAAAAAAAAAGCAAACTGTGTTAGTCTATAATTATCCCAAAATAAAGTTTAACTTGAAAAAAGACCAAACTGGTCAAATGTCAAAAATGATTTGATTTGCATATAAATAAAAAGGAGAAAATGTTGGAATATACAGTCACTAGTTATCACTTGGGTCCTTGATTTAAAAAAAAAAAAAAAGACCAGGTAGCTAAAAATATTTTTATTTCCTCTGTAGTTAAGGAATTAATGCTTTCTTAAGTTTTATCCCATGAGACTATGTTCAACGTTATTATCTTTTAATTTTTAAAATTTAACTCATCTGGCTTGTTGTGTACTTCTTGTTTGGTACTTTTTAGGTGTCTACCAATCAAAGATTCTCTTTATAATATCTACAAAAAGCATTCTTTGCCAGAAAATAAAAAAAGGACCCATGATTGTTAGTATTTTTTTTTTTGATTGTTAGTATTTACTTATCTTAATTTACTGTGGATGATGTTTAAACTTTTTTCCGCTTTCACTTAGACTGAAATGCTTCAAGCAGGTTTGGTTTCTCTACACTTAACAGTTTAACTTAAAGTGATTTTAAGCATATAAAGATATCTCTTAAAAACTTTTCTAGAAATGTAATTTTTTTAATCAACCATGTTAAAATGGCAAAGAGCATAGGATACTATGACAAGTCTTAAGATTTAACTTCTTTTTCTAAGCTATAATAATAAACATCACATCTAAATGAATAAAGGAATGAACAGTAGCAATTATACATAAATTTGAGAAATAGCATATTGAATATTCTTACATGTTTTCCTTTGGGGTTCTATCAATGCTTTTTTTTTTTTTTAAAGACTATTTATTCATAAGATACAGACAGAGGCAGAGGGAGAAGCAGGCTTCCCACCAGGAGCCCAATGTGGGACTCAATCCAGGGACTCCCGGGATCATGCTCTGAGCCAAAGGCAGATGCTCGACCACTGAGCATCCAGGTGTCCCTATCAGAATGCTTTTGGTTATTGAGAACAGAAAAGCAACTTCAAAATAACATAAACTACAAAAGTGGAAATAGCATAGCTTTTAGTTATGGTTTGTTTTTACTGTAACTTCTTTGATTGTCCTGAGTTGACTGTCTGCCTGAATTGACTCTCTCCCTCTGGTGATTTTCCTCTTGGTTGTGAGATTGCTACCATCAGCAATGGAAGCCACATGCTTTGTTCACATCCTTGTTGGGGGGGAGGGGGGAGTTAATTTCCACAACAGTGGTTTAAAAGTCCTCAGCTATTATCTGATTTGATCACCTTTGACCAGATCAGTGTAAGTAGTTAGAAGAATGTGATTACCCTAATTGGCTCGATGCACTTAGGGCCTACTACCCCAGAGCAGAGGATAGATTTCAGCCTGCCTAAACCATATGGCTACTATACAGTGAGGCAGGTGTGTTCTCGTGGAGGGAGGGGAATTAGATGCCAGCTAAACCACCAGGTAGTCATTGGGTACTAGTATAGATTAAAATATGATGATATAGGGCAGCCCCGGTGGCTCAGCGGTTTAGCGCCGCCTATGGCGGGGACGTGGTTCTGGAGACCGGGGATCGAGTCCCATATCAGGGTCCCTGAATGGAGCCTGCTTCTCCCTCTGCCTGTGTCTCTACCTCTCTATCTCTCTCCTCTCTGTGTATTCTCATGAATAAATAAGTAAAATCTTAAGAAAAAAAAAATCAAAAATCTCTAAAAAAATAAAAATAAAAAATATGATGATATAGGGGCAGCCCGGGTGGCTCAGCGGTTTAGTGCCACCTTCAGCCTGGAGTGGATTCTGGCGACCTGGGATCAAGTCCCACGTCGGGCTCCCTGTGTGGGGCCTGCTTCTGCCTCTCTCTCTGTGTCTGTCCTGAATAAATAAATAAAATCTAAAAAAAAAAAAAAAAAAAAGGACTTAACTGATTTATATCCTAAAAATGTATTATTCAAAATATAAAAAGTCTTAAAAATGTATATTTAAAGAAGAAAAATTTTATTATAATTCACTTAAAAGAGACCTATCATATAAAAACCCATCGTGTAAAGGCATACTTTTTAGAATGCTGTATTAATTGTATAGTGAGACATGTTGAAATGGCTTTGTAAAGAACAGAGCACAGATCACATTAGGAACCCTTTTGGGATCCCAAATGACTTCTCTTAAACTCTTAAGAAGTCCACTGTAGACAGTAGAAACCATACTTAATACAGAAAGTTACATACAATATAAAGCATTTTCATTATACTTTTTTACTGATTTGTTTCTAAGAAAAAAATTTTTTAAGATTTTATTTATTTATTCAAATTTTTTAAGATTGTATTTATTTATTCATTTATTCGTTTATTTATTCATTTATTCTCCCTCACAGAGAGAGAGGGAGAGACAGGCAGAGGGAGGAGCAGGCTCCATGCAGGGAGCCCAGGGTTGG